TTGCTTGACCACCGATAATGACCAGTCATCAGATATCATGCAATTAATTTGTGTGTATATTTCAAATTAATTTATAGTCTTTATTATAATTGTATTTAAAATGTTTTTAAAAATTGCCACTAAATTGTATTTTATTGTTAATGTATTATTTAGGCATTAATTTTGTTTTTAATATTTATTATTGAATGTAATAGTAATTATTATATAAATAATATATTAGTAAAAATTATACTAAATTATTATTAAATATTTATTGATTTTATTTTAGATTTAGTAACAAATAATTTAATATTATATGCAATATATTATATATTAAATATCTATATTTACTGAATATTTGATATTTTACAATATCTATAATAATTGACAATTTTATATAAATGTGATAAACTGAAAATATCTAAATTAATGAAACAATATATTTAGAGTATATCAATATTACAAAAATTTATTGTAATTTAACAATCTGATTAAAGTTATATAATTATTTTATAAATTTATAATACTTTAAATAACTTAAGATAATATATCTTAAACCAATTTTACTGTTTATACTATTAATTATAATAATTATTTATATATATATATATATATATATATGAATTGTTTAGCAAATTCAGTCAATTGTATAAAACAATTAATGATTATATGGTATACATTATGTGCTATCATATCATCAATGGATAGTATAATATCACCGGAAGGGTGTGGTGTGGGCCGCGAGTCAGTGCTGATGAACGGCCAGTGTTTCCGCTGGTATGCAAACTATACACAACAACAGGACATACAGTTTGGACGATCGGCCAAACCGGGAGAAGTGCCGTTTGCTGTATATATTAGTGCGACAAACAAATTTTTGGGTGTTTCTTACGCTTACAGGTATTAATAGATAAATAAGAATAATAATAACATATTTTATTACAACAACTAAAAAAAAAATTCAAATATTAAAAAGTTTAAAAATAAATTATTACTTTTTTAAATGAATAATTTTATCAAAACAATAAAAATCATTTATACTGTATATATATATTATTTATTTAGTCACTGTTCGGGTTCAATATTAAATGATCGATGGATTATAACAGCAGCACATTGTATATATAAGTAAGTGATTAATTAACAAACAAACAATAAATTTAAATTATTATTATTATTATTAGTTAAATATAAAAATAGTAAGCATGGGTTGGCATGGGATCAAACCTAATCTACAATTTATATATATATATATATATATATATATATATATATATATATATATATGTATCGGTATATACCTGTATATACAAATAAGTTGTTTGCTAAAACAACAACAACAAGTTTTAAGTAAACTATTATAAGTAAAACAAATCAACAATAAAAAAAATCGTCTAAACATATTGTTGTTGTATATAATATATAATCTATTAATAGTACCGTAAAATCGTGTTTTATTTCACATATAGAATTCAAAAAAAAATCATTTTCATATAATAAAAAACTCGCATTTTTTACCACCTCTGCTAATAATTAAGCAATAAATTATTATACAAAGTAGAAAACTTTATTATTCATATTGAGAAAAATTATTTCCCATGATTTTGACATTTCCATATGGGAAATAAAACACAATTTAACGGTATAGTAGAATAAATGTATTTAGTATAATTTATTCAATATATAATAATTTAATAATAATAATAATAATAATAGTAATAAGTACATTGAATAAAAATTATTATTATTTAATTATTATTAAGTGGTGGCTACTATGATAAAACAGCTATTAAAATATATCCCGGTGCCCAATCACTGGATCAATTACCCGACAGTTATCTGGTTGACAGTTTGTATGTACATCCAGATTATATTAGAGTTGTCGAAAGTAAATCCGATTTGGCATTAATTAAATTGAAACAATCGATACCATTGGACATCAGTGGACAGGAAATCAGGATTTTGAATGCCATATGTTTGCCAATTAAAACTAAATATTTACCATTGAATGATATCAATCAGTTGGCACTGGTAGCCGGTTTCGGTGCGTACGGTAATCAATTGCACACTGTTAGCCGATTACAAGTTGGTTGGGTTTATTTGGTATACAATGATGATCCAGTTTGGTATTATATGATCAGATATCCCAGATTCAATGGTACAGTTATCTGTGAAGTAAGTTAGTTACACATACACATACACATACACATACACATACACATACACATACACATACACATACACATACACATACACATACACATACACATACACATACACATACACATACACATACACATACACATACACATACACATACACATACACATACACATACACATACACATACACATACACATACACATACACATACACATACACATACACATACACATACACATACACATACACATACACATACACATACACATACACATACACATACACATACACATACACATACACATACACATACACATACACATACACATACACATACACATACACATACACATACACATACACATACACATACACATACACATACACATACACATACACATACACATACACATACACATAAATACATACATTCTACTGCATTATCATTTGTTTAAATATTTATTAAAAACAATTTATAGGGTGATTCTGGTGGTCCACTGTACCAGTATGTTAACGGTAGGGCAGTGCTCATTGGTATAGCTCTAAGCAGTCAAAAATCTAATGATAACAACTGTATGAATCAAAATGATGACAAAAAAGATATGTTTTTTGTACGCATTGCACCCAAATTAGATTGGATTCAACAAGTAATCTCTGAAAATTAGCATTTAATGTTTGCATAAAATAATAATAATAATTAATAATAAAATTTAATTTATTTATTTAATAAAAAAATATTATATAACTTTTTATTTATTTAAAATTTAAAGTAATATGTGTTTTTTATATAAATTATTATTATTATTATTATTACAGTATATTTTATCTTATAATGTTAAATATACATTTATGTTTTTTATATAACTTATATTATACTAATTAACTATTACTGTATTATTGATATTATTATAAATATTGTATTTTTAAAGTTAAAAGTCCATTATTAGTAATTTATTTTAATAATAATATTAAAATATATTTTATATAATAATAACAAAAATACATTAAAGTAGTATCAAATATAATGTTAAAACTTAAGTACTGCACAAACAAAATAATAATCTGATACTTATTTTTAAGTCATAAAATACTGATATTAAAAATATATTTTTTTTATAAAAAAAATTGATTATAAATAAGACTATAAAAAGTGCATTTGATTTATAACAATAATGTTAAATCGAGTTTAATTTATTATCAATAAAATTATCAAGTAGATTTAACAATTATTTTTTTATAGATAAACTCATTAATAATTTAATTCAAAAAAATATTGTTAATATAAGTAATCAAAATTAATAATTAAACAAATTATACAACAAAAAAATAATATTTTAGATAATTTTATTTAATTAACGAAAATTTTGTTATTTTTAATATTAATTAATAAACATTTTTTTAAAAAATAATTATTTTGTTTTAGCAACTACAAAAAATTTTGTTAATTAAAAATAGTTATTATATTAAATCAATTTTATTCGAATATTTCAATTAAAAAAAAGTTTAGTTTTTAATTTTTTTAGATAAAATAGAAATAATTAATGGTAATGATTGCCAAAATGAGCATGATGTTTGCCAAACTAATTGTCGATGAACAAAATGCAATATGACCAGGTACAATTTTATGATCTTTACATTGATTATTATTTATAGCATCTATAGCTTGGTTGAGTGTAGTTATATATTGTTGATAATTATCACATTTCTATATATATATATAAAATATAATAGATTTTTAAAACAAAAATATAATAGATTTTTTTTAAACAAAAATATAATAGATTTTTAAAGCAAAAAATATAATAGATTTTTTTTAAACAAAAATATAATTCATAGTTTATGCCAACTAAAAAGTTTAATAGTTTAAATTTTAGCCAAGGTACTTTATATAACTTGTACTAATATTGTAGCTAACTGTAGTAACTAAGTTACCTTGGTTAGGCGTAAAGTTATAACTGTACATGATATTAAATTTAAAATTTAATTATTTTTAATTAGCATTATATGTATATATTTATATTTAATTAATTTGTAATATATATATATATATAATTTATATTTATATTTATAAAATATTTTAGGTTAAGGTTAGGGTGATGGGAGGGGGGGTTCAAGTTTCTAATATACTGTATATATACAAACTTTAATATTGTCCATGGTACAATCAAGCATAACTGTTTCAACACAACAATTATATTTAACAAAATCGTCCATGGTCCATTTTTTCTTGTCATCATCGGTTATCGGTTTCAATTTATTTTAGGACACAATCAACGACATCGTTATAAATCAGTAGACAGCATACATCACCCCCACAATCGTCATCAATAACGTCACCAATATTAGACATATAATTGTTTTTGAAAATTAATTTACTTGCTGATCTAAATGCTGATCCGTAATTGATCCATGTCAAATTGACAAATTGTTGGTTAGCAAGCTTATTATTGTTGTTATTATTATTATTGTTATCTAGTGCCATAGTAGTAACAATAGTAAATATTGTTAGAAACAATGGGACAAAATAATAAGTATACATAGTATACATACAAAAAATAATTTTTTGTTTGTTTGTTTTTTAATTTAATTAGATTATCATAAAATTATTTATATAATTAAATTTTTTTTCTATAGCTAAACATTAGTCTACTATTTATAGGAATTTAGAAACAAAGAAAAACTTTATTTATTTTTTTGTTTGTTTAGTAACGGAAAACAATTTTTATTGGTTTAACAAAAAAAATATTATTTTTATCTACATTTCGATATATATTATATATATAAATTTATTTCTCGTTATTTAGTTAACAATTTTAATATAGTTAATGAATATTTATCACTCTAACACTTAATAACTTTATTATGTAATTATCTTAATTTTTGGGACAGTCTGAAAAAACCAATTTTTGGTTTTTTTTGAAAAAAGTCTGAAAAAAACCAAAAAAAAATTTTTTTTGAAAGTCTGAAAAAAACCAAAAATTGGTTTTTTTCATTTATATATATAATTTTAATCAAATATTTGATATTTAATAATTAAATTAATAATTAAAATATATTTATTAATTATATATTTGTTATCTAAGATAACTTGGGTTTATATTGACCACTTTTGACAACTTGACCACTGGTCAGTTATGATAAAAATTATTTAAAAATGATTATAAAGCATTTATATTATATAATTATAAGATTTTATCATTAAATTTAATTATATTGACCACTTGACCACTGGTCAATATTTATTAAAAGTAGTCTAAATTATTAATATTATTTAATAATTATAATATCTTGATAAAAACTATTTTCTGTTAATATTGACTAAACTTGACCAGTGGTCAAGTGATCAATATAACTAAATTTAATGATAAAATCAATAATTATATAATATAAATGCTTTATAATTATTTTTAAATAATTTTTATCATAACTGACCAGTGGTCAAGTGGTCAAAAGTGGTCAATATAAGCCCAAGTTATCTTAGATAAAAAATATATAATTATTAATTTAATTATTAAATATAAAATATTTGATTAAAATTATATATATAAATGAAAAAAACCAATTTTTGGTTTTTTTTGAAAAAAAAACTTGGTTTTTTCAGACTGTCCCTTAATTTTTTTATATTTTAACAAAAATGTTTTAGATAAAGAAAAATTTATTATTAATTTTGCTTAAATAAACAATGTTTTTACTGTATATACTTTATTAAAAATAATATAATTTAAATAAATTATTTATAATTAAAGCATAAGTATAATTTTATAATTAAAATTAAAATAATATTAAAATTTTAACAAATTTATATTAACTTTTTTTTGTCTAAATATCATAATATATTATAATAGATAACATTTAAATAATATATGTTTTAATAACAATATTTGCTATAATTTTCTAATCGTTGACATTTATATCTATTTTATAATTGGATTTATTATTTATAGTAATATAAATTATCACCAAAAAAAATGTGATATAATCATTGTATTAAATTGTTATGATATATTAATCAAATAAGTAAATATTATAATTTATATTAGCATTAAAGTATAAAAACATGTATATTATATTAAATTCGTATATATATACTAAAAAAATAAATTAAAGTAAAAATTAAAATATAATTTTCTTAATAAATATGCTATGAGTCATAGCCTATGACACTTTGCAATATACAATTTTTAATAATTAATAATTAAATATTATTTAAAAAATTATTATATAAATATAAGCTATAATATATTTTATAAATTATTTTATAATATAAAAATATTTAATTTTATAATTTTTAAAAAATTTATTTTTGCAATAAAATAGTTTGAAAAATATGTTTATTTATACATATAATTGTTTTATTAGTTTGCATAAGTATATTTTAATGTATATATAATACAATTTAATCATATTTTTAAAATGTAAAATTTGCTAATTAACTATAATAATATTATTTTTTTAAATGCTAAACTCGTAAAACATATTTATAATTATATATTTAGTAAAGATTTACTTAATAATATTGATTATTAAAATTAAAACTATTGTAAATAATAAAATTAAGCAAATATTTAGTCATAATTTAATGCTATAGTAAAATTGAAACTTTTTATTTAGTTATTTCATATAAAAAAAATTTTGAACAAATCATTGATTATTAAAAAAAAATTTTAAGTTTTTTTTTGTTGAAATTTTAGTAAGCGTTGGGAAATTTAGTTATTTTTTAGTAAAAAAAACTTATTGAAGTTTATTTATGCTGCACCACCACTACCACCTCCTACTCCTCCTGCGCCGCCTCCTCTTCAACGGCAGGTTTAGGTTTTTTCGGGGCTTTTTTAACAGTCTTAGGTTTTTTAGCTATTGGTTTAGGTTTAGGTTTAGGTGTTTCCTCATCTGTAGCTTCTGTTTTCAGAAAATATGTTAATAAATTAATTTTTAGATAAATATATATATATATATAGTATATATATATATATGATATATCTATAATAGTGGGTTAGGTTAGGCAAACCTTGGGCAACATCATCGGCCGTTTCCTCGACGACTGGTTTAGCAATTTTTTTACCCGATTTTGGTTTTTTAACTATTGGTTTAGGTTTTGGTTTAGCTGTTTCCTCATCGGTAGCTTCTGTTTACAAAATATATGTTAAAAAAATTAATTATTAGATTTAATATATATATATATATATATAGTATATTTATATATATATCTATAATAGTTAGGATTAGTTAGCAAACCTTGGTTTTCAACATTTTCCTCGTCGACGACTGGTTTAGCAATTTTTTTACCCTTTTTACCCGATTTTACGGGTTTTTTATTAACTATTGGTTTAGGTTTTGGTTGAGTTTCCTCATCGGTTGTTGTGGCCTCTTGTTCAGCTGTTTCTAGTTTTATAAAAAAAAATAAATAAAATTATTTTATATTTTATAAAAATAAAATTAATTAATTAAAAAAACTAAATATATATATTTATATTTGCAAATAAATTATTATTATAAGTATATATATATATATATATTGGTAGCAAACCTGGAGCAACTTCTTGGGCTTCTTCATCCACCACTTGTTTAGCAATTTTTTTACCATTTTTTACTTTTTCACCCCCAGTAGCGGTAATACCTTGTTTTTTGCAAAAACAACAACAACAACAACAACAAAAATAATGAATTATACAACTGTATACAAGTGTGATAGTTGGGATCGGGGGGCAGGGCAGGGGAGGGAAGGGGAGGTATTAGTTATGATTGGTAACATACCTGACACCACTTTACTGGGTAATTCCATAGCCATACCCACGCCATCTTTGACCATACCAACTGTGTCTTTGGCCATACCTACGCCCATATCTACGCCCTGCTTGACCACACCAGTTCCAATTTTCATAAATTTTTTCGGTACTTCCAGGCCCTGTTTGACCACTTCCATACCCGTACCGACTCCATGTTCAATCATATTGCCAGCTAAGTCGGTAGCCGCACCGATACCATCTATATATATATATTAGTTTAATAATAATAATTATTATTAATTAATTAATTTTGTTTGTTTGTTTGTTTGTTTGTTTGTTTTTATATAATATATAAAGGACTATACAAACTTTTGACAAAATCCATTGGCACTTTGGCTACCGAACCTATAACTTTGCTGCCCATATTCATGCCAGCTTTGGTCAGTCCGCCAAACACACCGGTTCCCGCTTCGATAACGTTGCCCAGTGTATCTAAACCACTTCCAAAAGTATCGCCAACCAATTTCATCGAACCTGTAAGTAAATTACCAAACAAAGCAACCGGATTGGCATTAGATTGTCGTTGTTGTCGATAGTGTGGCCGATAGTCCTGATCATTGACTGCCTGTTCCCGGTCCGACTGGTTGATACCGCCAACGATACCATTGACAACGCTAGTGGTGGTGGTGGCAATTGTTGCCAATAGTAATGTGATAATTAAAAATTTCATAGTTTTTTTTTGTTTGATGATAATTGATTTGATTTTATTTTTTTAAAATAATAATAATAATAATAGTAATAATTATTGTATTATATTATTATTATTTCAATTAACATCTATATTAAATGTGTGATTTGTTTGCCGTATTTATACCCTAATCGATGGACTAAACTATACTACACTACAAGTGTTTTTTTAAAATAAAATTTTTTGTTTTTTGCTTTTATGTTTTAACAATTAATTTTGTTTGATTTACTATTACTAAAATTTTTTTATATTAATTTTTTAGATAAAAATATTATATACATAACTCATTATTTTTAATGTGTTTTTATTTGCGTAATAATATTATAATATATTATAATATATATATATATATATAAAACTAATGACATATTTTTTTAGATAAACTAATATACAGTATATTATAAGTACTATATGTAAAAATCATCTGGATAATGACATTTAAAAAAATTAATTAAATATAATTAATTAATTTTTTTTAAACATTATAATTATTATATAGTAGTTATCAATAAACAATATGTAAATTTAAACATATTATGTTAATTTTTAATAATTTGTTTGATTTCCTTTATAGTTATTGTAATAGATATTAAAATTATTATATTTAAATATCTATATACTGTATATTAATAATATTATTAATTATTTCATAAATATTCAAAATTTGATAAAAAGTTTTTAAAAAATATTTATAGCATTTATAATCATACAATATTTACAATCAATTAATTATTAAAATTGACATAATAATTGTAGGTAGTACATTGAGTAATAAATATTTTTTTTCTTTTAAATTTAAGCATAGTACTTTATATAATGACTATTATGATTATTGACATGTGTATTTTAAAATATTAATAATTTTTTTAAAAAAAAAACATTTTAAGTTTACTATTATTTAACTTAAATTATATATATATATTTAAAGCAATATTACAGTAAATTATAAAAGCTAAAATATAATAATTATCAATTATAATTTAATAAAATTTTTTATAATATTTAAAATTTAATATACAAATATAATTTTAAATATAATTTTCATAAAATCTAATTAATTATTAAAATTTTTTAAAATTAAATTTATAAGTTATTACAATAAAACTTCCTATAAATAATTAATAAATTAAATATGTTTTCTATTTTATATAACTTTAATTTTAATACAAAATTTTTATTAGTAATTAATTTAAAATACAATATTGTATTTTTTTGAGTAATAAATTATTAATTTTAATATTTATAAGTACAATAAAATAGTAATAATTTTAATTCAAAACATATGATTTATTTATTAATTTTATTTTATTTTTTAAATATTTTCATTGGTAACTAATAATAACACTAATAATAGTAAGAAAAAACAAAATATATTATTAAAATTAATTAAATATTTAGTTAGTTTTGAATAAAACTTTATTTAGAAATTAATTAAATTAAATATATATTTAATTTTTTTTAGTAACCATTGTTTCCATTGTTTTGTGTCTATTATTTGTCAACAGCTTTTCGACCAACAGTTGGTCTGTATTTTTGTCTATCACTGTCTTCATCGACAGCTTTGCGACCAATTGATTGTCGATCTTTAACATACTTTTGCTGAACTTCTTCGTTGTCTTCATCAACAAATCGCCGGTTTTCTTGTTCATCACTGTCTTCATCGACAGGTTTGCGACCAATTGATTGTCGATGTTTAGCATACTTTTGCTGAACTTCTTCGTTGTCTTCGTCATCAATATTTTGTTTGAGACGTTTACCATTGACAACGATTGCGGTGACAATTGTTGCCAATAGTAATGAGATAATTAAAAATTTCATAGTTTTTTTTAAAAAAAATGATAATACAGTATTAATAATAACTATTGATTTTATTTTTTAATAATAATATTATTATTAAAAAAATTTCAATTGATAACTAAATGTGTGATTTGTTTGCCGTATTTATACCCCTAATCGATGACTAAGCTATACTAAACTACAAGTGTTTTATTAAAACAAAATTTTTGTTTTGTTTGTTTTTTTTTTGATAATTAATTTTGTTTGATTTACTATTACTAATATTTTTTTTTAAATAAGTATTATAATAGACAAAATAAAATATTGTACATAAATCATAATAATAACTATTTGTATTATTGTATGTGTTTTATATTTGTGTAATAATATTATAATTATATTTTTTTTTGATATATAAAAACCTAATCACATATTGTTTTAAATAAAAACTAATATATTATATTGTAGTATACTATATGTAAAAATCATCTGGATAATGTCATTATTTTTTTTAATAATTAATTACTTTTTATTTAAATATATGTATATATATATATTAGTTATTTTTTCAATAAACAATATGTGTTATCTTAAAATATAATTATAATAATGGTTAAAAATTAATTTTATCTTTTCAAAACTTATCTAGTGTATATTTAGAATTTTACTATTATTTAAATTTTTGTTTTATTTTTATTTGTAGTATTTTATTACATAAATATTAAAAATTTATTATAATATTTTAGATTATTTTAGATTAATATTTATTCATATCCTTAAATATATATATTTTTTAAAACTATTATACTGTACTTAAAATCAATTAATTATTAACATTAACATATTTTATAGTATAGTAAGTAAAAAATATATAATAATTTATAAATGACAATTTTTATTATTGACATTTAAATTTTATATATATTAATATATATATATTTAAAAGTTTTATAACAAGTGTTTTTTTAATTATTTTTTAAAAAATTATTAATTTACAATATTTTTAAAAACATTTTAGTACACTTAATTAATATTTTATTATCTTAAATACATTATATGATATACATTTAAAGCGATTAAAGTAAATTTTTAGAAACTAAAATATAATAATTATCAATATAAATTTAATATACAATACTAATTAAAAAAAATTTAATAATGTTTTTTAAAAATATATAATTTATTAAATTATTTTGTAAATTTAAAATATATTACAATAAAATCTTATGTCAAAGCTATATATACACTATTTTAAAAAAATAATATAAATTTGAATTTAAAAAAAAATATTAATAACACAAATAATTTGTTTTTCAATGATTTTTTTTTAAATTTTTTATTTACTTAGAAATTTACAGTAAAAAATCGTTTTTATAGGAAATATTTTTTTTGCAATCAATTTTCCTGCTCCTCATTGTCCTGGTTTTGTTGAGGACGGGACTGTCGTCTCTGGCCATTGCCTCTCCCTCTCTGTTGTTGTCGTCTATTACCGCCAGCACCGGCACCACCACCTAATACACCATTTACTAGACCAGTGGCGCTATCCATTACACCTGTATATACAATATATATATATATAAGCAATTAGTATGTAAATTAGTATTAGGGGCTAAACATAATGGAAGTGTGTGATGGTTGGGACCGGGGGCGGAGGGGGTGGGTTAAGGTATGATTGTTAACAAACCTGAGACCACTTGTGTTGGTAAATTCATACCCTGTTTGGCCATACCCATGCCCTGTTTGGCCATACCTAAGCCCATACCAACGCCCTGTTTGGCCACACCCATTCCCATATTGATAGCTTTTTTCGGTACTTCCATGCCCTGTTTGGCCATACCCATGCCCATATCCATGCCCTGTTTGGCCATACCCATTCCCATATTCATGAATTTTTTCGGTACTTCCATGCCTTGTTTGGCCATACCCATACCCATACCGACTCCCTGTTCAACAACATTGCCCACTAGATCGGTAGCCGCACCCATACCATCTATATGGTTAGTGAATAATAAATACTGTATTAATATAATAGATTTTTTTTAGGACTATACAAACGTTTGGCCAAATCCATTGGCAATTTGGTGGCCGCACCCATAGCTTTGCTGCCCATATTCATGCCAGCTTTGGCCAGTCCGCTAACCATACCGGTTCCCTGTTCCATAACATTGCCCACTGTATTCAAACCACCCTCTAGAAAATTGCCAAACATTTTCATCGGACCTGTAAGTAAATTACCAAAAAAATCAAACGGATTTCCATTAGGTTGTTGTTGTTGTTGTTGTTGGTGTTGTCGGTGTTGTCGACGGTTTGGCCGATAGTCCTGATCCTGATCTTCCTGTTCCCGGTCCGACTCGTAGTCATCATTACGATGATTACCGACACGTTTACCATTGACAACGATAGCGGTGGCAATTGTTGCCAATAGTAATGTGATAATTAAAAATTTCATAGTTTTTTTTGATGATGATAATAATAATAACTATTGTTTTATATTTTACTATTACTAAAAAAAATTTCAATTGATATCTATATCTAAATGTGTGATTTGTTTGCTGTATTTATATCCCAATCGATGACTAAACTATACTACACTACAAGTGTTTTTTTTAAATAATAATTTTTGTTTTTTTTTTGTTTTTTTTATCTGATAATTAATTTTGTTTGATTTACTATTTGCTAATAATTTTTTGTATATGTATTGTACAAAAATATTTTTTAATTTGCGTAATAATTTTATTTTATTTATTTTTTATATATATAAAAAACTAATGACATATTGTTTTGTAGATAAACTAATATATATATATTATAAGTACTATATATAAAAATCATCTGGATAATGACATTTTTAAAATTAATTAATTTTTAAAAATAACATAATAACTATTAATACAGTATATACTGTAGTATTTATCAATAAACAATATGTAAATTTAAACATATTATGTTAATATTGTTTATATTTGTATAATAATTACTATATAATAGTTTATATATTCATATATATACAGTATATTGAATATATATATACAGTATATATATATATATATATATACATAAATTATATTGTATACTTTTTTTTAATTATAAAATATATAATATTTTTTTAAAGTATATACTATACTTAAAATCAATTAATTATTAATATTAACATATTGTGTACAATGTTTAGTGAGTAAAAAATATATAATAATTTTGAAATAACAAGTGTTTTTTATTATTTTTTAAAATTAATAATTTGCACTGTTTTACAAACATTTAAACTTTATTTAATTAATATTTAACTTATTTATTATATATTTAATGCAATTACAAAATTTAAGATAATTATAAATTATTTTTTTATATATATAAATTATAAATTTTAATAATTTTATACTTTATTTTTTAAATCTTTAATTATTGTATAATTTTCTTTACTATTTAAAAAAATTATATGTAAACAATTATTAAACTAAAATGTGTTTTAAATTTTATATAATGTTAGTTAAAATGTAATTTGTAATTAATCATTTAAAGTGCAATATATACACATGATATATGTATAGTATATATAGTATATATAGATTATTAATAAATTATTGATATAAATATGTAAATAAAAATGCTAGTATAGCTAAACCTATTAAATTTATAATAAAATAATCTTATATAAATAATAATTGTTTTAATTAATTTAATGCTAATTATTATTGAATCTTAATTATTATTTTTTTATAAATTTGTTTAAAAAATTAAAATTTATTACTTATTGTTTTAAATTGATTAAATAAATGTCCATATAAAAATATACAACAATTTAAAACTAGATAATATTTTTTTTTAAAAATAATAAAGTTGATATATTTGATATGTTTTAAAATGCTAATTTATTTTTTTTCGAATGCTAATAATTATAATATTTTATTTATTCAGTTAATTATTATTAATTAAAAAAATACAATCAATCAGTTAAAAAAAAGTTTGATTAGATTTTAGCCGTAAAAAAAGTAGAACTATTTATTCAACTTTTAAATTTTAAACTGTCTGTCTGTCTATCTGTCTGTCCTATTGTTAATTATTGTCAACATTTTCATCTTCGACTTCTTCTTGTTGTTTTTGTTGTTGTTGTCGTTGTTTTTGTTTGCGATTTCTGTTTCTGTAACCACCGTTTCCTTGTCGTCTACCATTACTACCGGTAATACCATCTACTAGACCAGTTGCTTGGTTGGCCATACCTAATAATTAAATATTAATTGTTAATTATTAATTAGCATTATAAGCATTATAAATTTATTTTACTAATAAAAAACTATGCAATTAATACCAAAAACAAACAAATAAAAATATAAAATATAAAATACATACCAAATCCCTTATCCATCATCTGTTTACCCATACCTACGTATATATATACATTACAATATAGCAATATACAACATATAGCATATATATATACATATTATATATATTATTGTTTTATTGTATAAACTAATTATACTGGTATATAATTATAATTTTTTTAAAAATCAAAATATATCATCACTTTTTTGCCCATTACTATATATAAATAAATATAAATATATATATATTTATATATAAATTTAGTATTTAATTATTATCATTTATTTATAATTAAAAAATCTATACTATCCTATCTATACTAAATAACTATCAAATTTTTTTTATTAAATTTAAAAATATATAATACTATAAAAAAATACATACCCAACCCTTTGTTGGCTAATCCTGTAGCCATATTCAATCCCTGACCTACGGCATTCATACCAGTATCAGCTACCTGGCCAACCATATCCAGTCCCTGGCCAAGCATACCTGTTCCCATATTAGCTATTGATTTTATTAGATCCACAAATCTTTTTTTACGTCGTTCATCCAAATCATCGTCAGCTATAAAAATAATATATATATTAATATATATTTGATGGACAAATATATTATAGTAATATTATTATTATTATCATAATAATCATTATATGTTTTTACCTTGTGGTTCACTGTTTTTATCCGAATCATCATGGTCAGCTTTAAAAAAAATAATATATATATATATATACATATTTGATAGATAAATATTTTAGTATTATAGTATCATCATATTATAAAATTAATATATATATGTTAAAATGTAATTTAAGCTATTTTTTATTATAAATAAATAAATAAAATCAAACAATAAAAGGGGGAATGGTATTAAATAGTAGTGGGAAAGTAGTGTACAGTACTGTATGGGATGGGATGGGATGGGATGGGATGGGATGGGATGGGATGGGATGGGATGGGATGGGATGGGATGGGATGGGATGGGATGGGATGGGATGGGATGGGATGGGATGGGATGGGATGGGATGGGATGGGATGGGATGGGATGGGATGGGATGGGATGGGATGGGATGGGATGGGATGGGATGGGATGGGATGGGATGGGATGGGATGGGATGGGATGGGATGGGATGGGATGGGATGGGATGGGATGGGATGGGATGGGATGGGATGGGATGGGATGGGATGGTTAGGTTATGACTTACTTGTTGTATCCTCCGCTGGTACATAAGTAACTAGAAAATAAAATTAAATATTATTATTAAAAAATGTATCATTTATTTTTTTAATTGACCCCCCCGCTGATCAACATCCATATGCACCCACCAACCCCTCCCCCTCCTCCTCCTCCTCATTGACTATACCTTCATCTGACTTTTCATCATATGCTGCTGTCTGTGCATCACAAACGATAGCAATGGTTACCACCAGTAGTGCCAAAGTTAGTATAATTTTCATATTTAATTCAATAATAATTGTATTATAATTCAAAACTATTACTTTAATAACTATTGATTGATACACAAAAAACAATATCTCTATTTATACCATTGAAATACACACACATACACACACACATACACACACATACACACACATACACACAAATACACACACACATACACACACATACACACACTTACACACACACATACACACACATTATACAAGTGTTTGAATAGTCTAAAATAATCTATTAAAATTTTGTTATAGTAATTAATTAATTGTCATATATTTTTTTGTGTGGGATTTTAAAATTTATATTTTTTAGTTTTTTTTTAATTTGGATATTATTTTTAAAAAAAAGATTAACTAATAGCCAATACATGTTGCTATAGAATAACTCTAATAATAATAATAAAATATGTTAAGTCACCTGGATATTTATATTTATTTAAATTAATGATTTTTTCAATTTTACATTTAAAATTTACAATCTAAAAAAATATAACATTAATCAATTAAAAAAAATGTGTGCTATCTTAAACTTATAGTTTTTTTAATAAATTATATATATATATATAGTTATAATATTTAGTATTATTAATAAAAAAGATAAGATAATTAATTAAAATGTGTTTTAAATTTTATATAACGTTATAGCAATGTAATTTGTAATTAATCATTTAAAATGCAATATATATATATAATATACAGTATATATATATTATTATTAATAAATTATTGTTAGCTAAACCTATTAAATTTATAATAAAAATAATCTTTTATAAATAATAATTGTTTTTTAAAAAAAATATTATATTTAATTTTATGATTATTAAAATTAAATCTTAAATAATTATTTTAGAAATTTAGTTAAAAATTGAAATTTATAACTTATTGCATTAAATTTATTAAATATACGTTTATTAAGTTAATAAAGTTGATATAATTGATAGTATTAATAGGTTTTTATATAATAAAATATTAAAACCTTTTTTTAACTTTAATAAACTTTTTTATAAACTTAACTAATATTTATATTTTATAATTATAACTTTTTTTTTGCAAAAAAAATATTAAAATATGTATAATAAATACTGTATAATATGAAATATACTGTATATATCTATGTACATATTAAATATTGTATATATTTAATAAATTAAATGTTTTTAAATGCTAATAATTATAATATTTTATTTATTCAGTTAATTATTATTAATTTTACAATCAGTTAAAAAAAAAGTTTGATTAGATTTTAGCCGTAAAAAAAGTAGAACTATTTATTCAACTTTTAAATTTAAACTGTCTGTCTATTTGTCTGTCCTATTGTTAATTATTATCAACATTTTCATCATCGACTTCTTCTTGTTGTTTTTGTTGTCGTTGTTTTTGTTTGCGATTTTTGTTTCTGTAACCACCGTTTCCTTGTCGTCTACCATTACTACCGGTAATACCATCTACTAGACCAGTTGCTTGGTTGGCCATACCTAATAATTAAATATATTAATTAGCATTATAAGCATTAGTAAATTTGTTTTACTAATAATAAAAAAAACTATGCATTTAATACCAAAAATCTAAAATACATACCAAATCCCTTATCCATCATCTGTTTACCCATACCTACGTATATATATATATATACATTACAATATAGCAATATACAACATATAGCATATATATACATATTATATATATATTATTGTTTTATTGTATAAACTAATTATACTGGTATATAATTATAATTTTTTTATAAATCAAAATATATTATCACTTTTTTGCCCATTCCTATATATATACATATATTTATATATAAATTTAGCATTTTATTATTATCATTTATTTATAATAAAAAAAAATCTAACTATCCTATCTATACTAAATAACTATCAATATTTTTTTTTATAATTTAAAAAATACTATATAATATATAATATATAATACTACAAAAATACTACAAAAATACATACCCAACCCTTTGCTGGCTAATCCTGTTGCCATATTCAATCCCTGGCCTACGGTATTCATACCAGTATCAGCTACCTTACCCATCATATCCAGTCCCTGGCCAAGCATACCTGTTCCCATATTAGCCATTGATTTTATTAGATCCACAAATCTTTTTTTACGTAGTTGTTCATCCAAATCATCATGGTCAGCTTTAAAAATAATATATATTTTAGTATTATTATTATCATAATAATGATTATATGTTATATATATATATATTTTTAAAATTTATTTTATATTGTATATATATAACTATAAATTTTTAACTACAAAATAATATACCAATACATACCCATTGGCTGTTTCACCATTTTTGTGCCAATTTCTTAATATATATATATATATATAATTAAATATATAAAATTTTATTATTATATAATTATATAATTTATAAATTAATAAATTTTATTTATTATACAAACAATAAAATAAAACAAACAAAATACATACCCACTCCCTGATTCACCAATTTTTCAGTCATACCCATTCCCTGGTCTACGGCATTCATACCAGTTTCAGCTAACTTACCAAACATGTCTAGTCCCTGGCCAAACATACCTGTTCCCGCATCAGCTACTTGTTTGAATACATTGCTCAAAAATCGTTTTTTACGTAGTTGTTCATCCAAATCATCATGGTCAGCTATAAAAAAAATAAGATAGATAAATATATTAGTATTATTATCATAATAATAATAATAATCATTATATGTATAAAAATAAGTATAGTATATATATATTAATATATTTTTTTTAAAAAACATATTAATTAATTGGAAATAAATAAAATCAAACATATTAGTATATGTATAAAATTAGTATATACTGTATATATATATTTTTTTTAAATAAAAAAAATACAATTTAAGTTATATGTTTATTAATTATAAATAAATAAAATCAAACATATAAGGGGAACGGTATTAAATGGTAATGGGATGGTTAGGTAATGACTTACTTGATGTTTCTTGATCCACCGATGATTCAATTGCTAGAAAATAAAATAAACATATTTATTATTATCAATAAATGTTATATCATTGTTGTTGTTGACCCCCTCTCAACCACATCCATCTCCACCCACACCCACCCCTCCTAATCCTCATCATTGACTATACCTTCAGCTGACTCATCATACGCTGCTGTCTGTGCATTGCATACGACAGCAATGGTTACCACCAGTAATGCCAAAGTTAGTATGATTTTCATATTTAATTCAATAATAATAATTATTATTATATTATTCAAACAATTTTTCTACTTTGATATCTATTGATTGATACAACAAAAAACATGATCTCTATTTATACCATTCAAATACACACACACTTACACACACTTACACACACTTATACACACACATACATACATACATTATACAAGTGTTTGTATTGTCTAAAAATAATTGATTAAAATTTTATGAAAATAATTAATTAATTGTCATATATTTTGTGTGTGTGTGTATGTGTGTCTGTATGTGTGTGTGTGTGTGTGTGTGTGTGTGTGTGTGTATGTGTGTGTATGTGTGTGTGTGTGTGTATGTGATTTTAAAATTAATATTTTTTAGTTTTTTAATTTTGATATTTAAAAAAATAAACTAATACAATACATGTTTCTATAGAATAACTCTAATAATAATAATAATAAATATGTTTTAGTTAAATGTTAAATCACCTGGATATTCATATTTATTTAAATTAATGATTTTTTCTATCTTACACTTTTTAAAATTTACTATCTAAAAAATATAATATTAATCAATATACAGTATAAAAATGTGTGCTATCTTAAACTTAGTTTTGTTAATAAATTATATATATATATATATTATACATATAGTTTAACAAAAAAAAATAAGTTAATTAATTGATTATTTTATTTTTTAAAAAAGTATTTTTATATCATTAAAATTATTAATTTATAATAATCAATTTATTTATATTTTATTTAAAGTTTTTTTTTAATTATTATATTAATACAAGTGTTATTTTTTAATAAATAATTAGTTATTTAACGCGCTAACAACAATATGTGCCGTCGGCACAAAACAATGTATACCTTTGAATCCTAAAGTGTGCCGACGGCACAAAACTAAATAGCCAATCATATGACAGAATTATAATTTAAATTAAATTAACTATTAAACAGTATTATTTACTGTACGTACTTTATGGTTACTGCATAATGCATTGCATTATAGTAAAAACAATAATAATTGTATTCTATTATAAAAACTTTTTTTGTATTACATTTTTGTATAAAATGTTGTAAAAGTTTTGTTATTAATTTAGTATTAATCAATTAATTATTGATTTAGAAAAACATTTGTTGCTATTTTGCTTTAAATATATATTGTGTTTGTGTTAAGACAAGTGTCACACAAGTGTCACAAATGTTAAGATTATATAACCATTAATGAGCTCTCATTTGAGCAAAAATCCAGAAACTTATCAAAACAGAAGTAAAGCCGACCTCAAGACCAACACTCATACCAATAGCCGACGTAAGAGTTCGGCCTACTCGGTGTCCACTAACGACTTCATCACATCGCACCACATCAAAGATTGTGATCAAATCGGACGCTCCGACTGATAGTGAAGATATTATTACATTTCCGCCGACATTCAAACTATTGTTTTTCATTGGATACGAGTCATTGTCTCAATTAAAACCCGAGTTTATCATCAATTTAGGTCTCGTTTTTGAGAAACATCTTAAGACAAAAGCCGAGTTTGTTGCTCGAGAACAGCTAAAACTGATTGATTGTGTCAAAGGATTGGACTCAAAGGTGTCATATCTGTCTAATCAATTCATTGTTGAGCGACAAAAACGACTCATAGCGGTGTCTGAAAACATCAAAATTGACTGATATTTCCTTATTGATTGAGAAGATTAACAAAGATTTAAACATTTGTGTGAAACGTTATTCATCACATTCATAATGTCAAGTCCATCTACCGGACCACTGAACAATGGCCAGACATTAATAGGTTCTGTTCCGACACGAAGAGAGAGCAATAATAACTTTGCGGGTCTGTCATCATTGGACCAGAATGTAGATCAGCCAACAGGACCAGTGACACCACCGCTGCCGCAACAGTCACAACAGTCTCCCAATTCATTATCTGGATTTTCATCGCGACTCATATCAAATCGTAACCGAATACCTGATCTCATAGACATTACCGGTGGCGGCACTTTCACCAACAATACGAGTCTACTAGGAATGAGTAATATAAATTCAATGCATACTTTTGGTGTGGTTGGAGGTTCAGTTGGTGGTCCGCCCGCACCTTCATTAGACATGACTGAGTTTCCTACACTTGGAGGAAGCAATTCCAACAGTGTATGGATTTTGTAATTATTTATAAGTGATTTTGTGTTAATTGTATGTTTATTTTGCAATAACTTATAGCTTATAACCCAAAACTCATCTTCTCGACAACCATATGTAGGGATGGTTAAGAACAATGTGACCAACAATTCAACATCAAATGAATTTAATATACAGAGTGAAGATTTCCCATCGTTGACCGATTTGAATCCTATAAATGACGAATTAGGGCTACTGTTTGATGACGATAGCGATGATGGCTTTAATGTCGAGTTCACACAAACAAATCATAGTGACACTGATGATAGTGATGATGAAAACGAAATGAACAACGAAAACCAAACAAATCAGTGGATATTTGACACACAAGAAGAGAACAATTGGATGCCAGATTTTGACAAATCTTGTGGACCAACAATTGTCATACCGACTGATCCAACACTTATATTTGATAGATTTTTTGATGATAATTTTTTGACAATTATTGTGAATTTAACAAACAAACGCAACCCTAATATTGACTTAAATGTGACTGAATTAAGACATTTCATAGGTATTCAAATTCTTATTAGCCTAAAGCATATACCACGTGAACGTGATCACTGGTCTTCGGGATTCTATTCATCTGATCTCATAAAAAAAACTATGAGTCGAGATCGATATTTTGCTATTAAACGAGGTCTCCATTTTTGTGACGAAGAAACTGGTGACAAATCCGATGAAATTTACAAAGTTCGAATGCTTTTAACGCATATAACACAAGTTAGTCAACATTTGTATGTACCAAAAAAGGAGTTATCCGTTGACGAATCGTTGGTAGCATTTAAAGGCCGTTGGAAACACATACAGTATATACCATCAAAAGCTCACAAATTTGGGATAAAATTTTTCGTATTATGTGAATCAGAATCCGGATACATGTTAAACCTATTGTGTCATTGTGGTGATGAGTCTACTTCGTCAACAAAAGATATTGTTTTGAAGTTACTTGAATGTATGGGTGAAATGTCTGGTCATGATATATATACAGACAATTATTACACAAGTATTGAATTGGCCGAAGAATTGATTTACCGCGGGATGAGTTTAACGGGAACATTAAGAAAAAACCGAAGAGGATTACCACTTAATTTTAAAAAATTTGCCCTTAAATTGTCACGCAAACAACCTGGACCTTTCTACATGAGAAAGGATAAGATTTGTTGTATGGCATGGTATGACAACAAGCAAGTTCTGGCTTTGTCTACACATTTAACCAAAGGGGAAGTCAATATACAGCGTCGATCAAGAAAAAGTGATACTGGTTTTGTAACAATAAATTCACCAAATATTATCGAGAGTTACAAAAAATTTATGGGTGGCATTGACAGATATGATCAACGATTGAGTTATCATTCATATCCTCACAGAGTATTGTATTGGCCACAAGTCATCTGGCATTTGGTTGTCAGCGTTAGCCTCAATAACTCTTTTATTGTATATAAAGACAAGACATCAAAACCAATAAGTTCAAGTGATTTCAAGTATCTAACGGCCCGACGGTTATTGCAAGTAAGCGAGAAATCGATTTCATTACATGCATGTTGTTCTTCGGCGTTAACAAAAATTGACACAAAACCTCTTAAACGTGATTGCGTCATGTGTCGTAAGAAACATATTAGAACACAAACTACATATTGGTGTGGAAATTGCAAAAATTCATTATGCAAAGAAGCTATGTCGATGGATAGAACATGTTTTCAATTACATGTTAATTATCAAAATAGGTATTATAAATATATTTTTAATAAAATTATTAAGATAATTTATAATTTTTTAATTTCATTAGTTTATATTAAATAACTTTTGGGAATCGCGGCCGCCCATTGTTTGGCCAGAGCATATCTTTTTAGTCGATTGTCGTGTTTACTAAACTCAACTCAATTAAACTTCACATTAATGTCAATTACCCACCGATACTATATATTTTTGAAAATGATATCAAAGTTTATAATACGTCGTTACCAAACAAACGAAACAAATATTCATAACAAACACTTAAAGAAAAGTTAGACAACTTTGTTGGTATTCATACGGACGAGACATCCAATGCCATCAATTGGATTCGTGACAATCAATTGTACGGATTGTCAGCACTCGAATTAACCACTTTGGCCAACAGTACAGACAAAAACTATTACGGAGAAGAATGGGTTTCCAGATATACGGCTCAATTGATTCTAAAAACAACAGTTTGTTTCTGAAGAAAGTGATGGCAAACATTTGTACCGAAAGCCGACTCAAACAGACCTGGTATTCAATTGCCGACGAAACTTATGCGGTTTATAAACTCAAAGTCAAACACAAACAATAACTCAGAAAATGAATTGATTGAAACATTTGATTTTATTTTTGATCAAATTTGGAACTCATTGATTTGACTCAATTCATCAAACATTACGACAGCACTGATCACAATCTCTTTAACAGCAAAGTTCATGTGGCCAGAGATGACTTGACCGTCGAGTTTCATTACTGCCGCAAATTCATGACAATCTCGGGTAACCAGCGGTGGCAACAATAAGAAGTTTTTTACAAACATTCGCTACAACTTCGAGTTCGATTATTCGTCTTTTGAGTCGATAGTGATGTCCACTGAACTCAATTCAATTAAACTATACATTAATGTCAATCACCCGCCGATACTATATATGGTTGAAAATGATAGCAAAGTTTACAACAACACGTTTTTGTCACCAAACAAACGAAACAATTGGATCCGTATTATTGTGTCTATAATATCAAAAAATTGACTCAAATTCCTATATATTTCGCACACATTAGTGAACACATTTTAACTTATACTAAAGTCGTTTTATAGTCAATTCAGAGCCCGATTATACTTTGAGTCTTAAGATAACTTAAAAACATTGATTTTTTAATTATTTTTAATTTTAAAATGAAAATAAATTTTTTTGAAAATAAATGCCATAAAAAACGTCTAAATATATTTAATTTACCGTTAATTATTAGTAAAATTTGCTTTAATTTGATTGGTTAATTAATAAAACACTAGCGCGGGCTTTAATAATTTAGTAACATAAGGTAAAAATAGATATATTTGTTAGGATCAAGAGCGTTAAATGTGTTTTTTATTTTAAATTATATAACGTGTTATAGGCGTTACTTTTTTAAAATATGAAAATATATTAATAAATTAAAATTTTACAATTATGTTAGAACAATACAATATTAATTAATTGATTATTTTATTTTCATTGATATTATAGATTTATTAATTATTACATTTTAAAACTAAATTTAATATTGTTAAAAAAAAATATTTTATAATATCATATAAAATATAGATATAAATATACAGATATATAAATATAATTTTTTTTAAATAATTCTTAATTTGAAATTATTAACTATAAATATATAATAAATTTGTAAATTTTTTAAAATCAAAAATAATAAAATAGTAATAAAAATTAACTAAATTAACTGTTATGTAATTAAAATATATTTTGTTTATATAATAATAAATTTAAACTAATATTTATAAAATACTAATAGACTTATTTATTATTTTTTGAAGGTATTTTTCATATAGTTTTCATACAAAACATAATAAATGATCTAGTTGAAAAAAATAAAATAAAATATTTTAAAACAGTCTAAAGTTTTTTTTGAATGATAAATAATAATAATAGATATTTTTTTTTAAAAAAAATAAGTTTTTAATTATACCATAAATATGATGCCAATAACAAACAATATGATAATATTGTCGCTATAAGGTATAGCTTATAAACCAGACAACCATCCAAACAGTTTTGATACCATAGTGTCAATAATAATAATAATAGGTTTTGACATAAGGCGTCGTTCACATATTACGTTCGCACTTTTTAAGAAATCTAGACCACACCCTCCCCTATGTTCGCAATTGTTCGCATGTAGTCATTTAAAAAAAATTACGTTCGCATGTCCCTAACCGCTACCCCCCCCCACCACAAGAAATAAAATATTATCTAAATGCGAACGTTTTTAAAGACTATACCCCTCCCCTCCCCCTCGTTCGCAAAAGTTCGCTTTGGCCAACCCCCCTACCCCTCCACTCAAGTGCGAACGTAATATGTGAACCACGCCTAACATAAATGTATAATAAATACGATGGTATAAATAGTTTTGTCTATTGATATGGGAATAATTTATAGGAATATAGCAAATTGTGAACAAATAAGCCATTATTATCTTAAAAAAATATATGATCAAAACGTTTAATATTTGTTAACTGTATGTTTATAATCGATAAAAACATTATTTAACCAATTAATTGAAAATACTATAAATATATAATAGATGGGGAATTGTGTAAAAAATAGGGATAATATTAGCAAACGTGAAGCCAGTATAAAAAAACGCCAAACATAACCAATAAACAGTGTCTATAATAGCAAAAAAATTAATTAATTTGTAAATAATAATTAATATATTTAAAATATATAATTAATAAATTATTATTATATAATTAGTATTTATTATGCAGTAGTATCTATTATAAAAATTTTCCTTAAATATTAAACAAATTTTAAATATACACTATAGAATTTATATATGTAATTTATTTTAGTTGTATATATTATTATTATTATTATTATTATTAAATTTAAATGTAATTTTTTTTAAAAGAAAAAATCTATTTTTATCTACAGTATTTCTAAAAAAAAACCATAAAAAATTAATGTAATAAATTTATACAAAAAATAAATAAAATAAAAATAATTTTTCAAACCGTATATTTCTTAATAAATTTAGATCGTATTAACAAAACAATTAATATAAATTGGACAATGATTTGATGCCAACGTCCAGGAAATTGATGCCAAAGATATAACCGATGAAATTATTTGAAAAAATTAATTATTTAACTGTTATTCAGTAATCATTGTCAATAAATATTTATATCATATTTTTGTTTATTAACATTAAATTATTATATTATTTTGATTATTATTAATTTTATATCCATTGTATAGTAATAGTAGAGACACTGTTTATGACACCTGTGGTCACCGCTCAGCTCTAAACTCGATAACTAGGGTTGACCTGTAAATTATTACATACTGTCCTATTAGATCCCGAAACCATAATAAGCTGGTACTATATATGTCGACCAAATAGTACAGTCAGCTATCGGTGAACGACCACATATGTCTTACCCACCTGTAAATTAGGGTTGACCTGTAAATTACATACTGTCCTATTATTATTATTATTATCGCCCGATGACACTGTATAAGCCATTATTATATTAGTTGACCAGAATATATATATATATATTTTAATCTCTCATTTAAACTGATTCATACATAACTATACTGTATATATACTGATAAATATATATATATATTATATATATATATATATATTTATTTATTTATAAGTAAAATATTTTTATGTCTTTTTTCTGGTTGTTATCTCAATAATTATGATTCACAATGTTTTTGCAATGTATGAAACCTGAATTTTAAAAGTATTTTATAATATTTTTTTTTTTAAACAAAAATTGATAGCTAGTTATGCTATTAAAAACTTTTAGCACATTTAATGTCTTTTTTATTATTACTATTACTACTGTATTATACATTATTGAAAAATAAAATTATCACTATATTATATCGACATATAGTTACTGTACAGTATATAGTTTAACATAAATATTTACTAAAATATATTTTTACTATTGATAATAAATTTTAATTACTCAATAAGTATTAACATATAAATATTTATTGAAATATATTCAAAAAAAAAAAAAATTTGAAAAAGTTTTATTTACTGAAATCTATACGAACCTTTTTGTGTCTGTGTGTCTGTGTGTCTGTGTGTCTGTGTGTCTGTGTGTCTGTGTGTCTGTGTGTCTGTGTGTCTGTGTGTCTGTGTGTCTGTGTGTCTGTGTGTCTGTGTGTCTGTGTGTCTGTGTGTCTGTGTGTCTGTGTGTCTGTGTGTCTGTGTGTCTGTGTGTCTGTGTGTCTGTGTGTCTGTGTGTCTGTGTGTCTGTGTGTCTGTGTGTCTGTGTGTCTGTGTGTCTGTGTGTCTGTGTGTCTGTGTGTCTGTGTGTCTGTGTGTCTGTGTGTCTGTCTGTGTGTCTGTGTAGCATTTTTTTTGTCGATGTTTGAATTTCTGATTTTATATTCAATGTTAGAGGACTACTAATAATGTATTGAAAAGATGCATCAAAATTTTGATATCTCTTCGGGAACATAGAGAAAATGGCGGCCAAAGTAAAAAATTTAAGAAAATTTTTTTAAAAGTATAGATTTGAATAACGCGTCAAAATCAAGAATAAAAAATATGCATTAAAATTTTGATACGTCTTCGGGAACATAGAGATAATGGCGGCCAAATAAAAAAAATTTTAGGTAAAAATTTTAACTTAGAAATATATAGAGCATCATAAATAAGATATACTGGCTAAAAATTATTTTATTTCAAAAAAGTCGGCAAAAGCATGATTTTAGCTGTTGATTCTGTATACTCAATCATTTGATACCACACATGACATAGTTGAGTATATTTTTTCATACTAAATTATTTGATCTCCTCAAGTGAGTATAGTTGTTTATTTTGTCATGCCTAGTCATTTGATACCACACATGACTATAGTTGAGTTTATTTTGTTATACCGAGTCACTTAATAACCTACATGACTAAAGTTGAGTTTATTTTGTCATACAGAATCATTTGATACCTTACATGACTAAGGTTGTTTATTTTTTATACCGAATCATTTAATAACCTAAATGACTAAAGTTGTGTTTATTTTGTCATACTGAGTCATTTTACTATATGACTAAAACCAACTGACAATTAATTAGTAAACATAATATTTTATGCCGACAAAGTTTTTTTTCTGATAATGCTTTCTAACATTCTTAACTGGTTTTATTATTCATAATAAAATTTAAATTTTTTTAAAAAAATTTATTTATATAATATATACATAAAATATATGTTTATATTATTTACTTTAATACAAATATCTACTTATAATATGAATATATTTTTATTATTACTTTTTTTTTGTTAAAAAATGTTTAATTTTCGCGAAGATTACACCATTAATAATGACAACAACAACACCACCGATGATAGGGATAGGGATGTGTCGACAAAACGCCTAAAACGTATCGGTATCGGTATCTATAGGCAGACAAAAAGTTTTAGTAAACGAAAACTACTGTTCCGTACGGTAGTGGCCATACTCTGTGCACTGGCCCTAACCTATCACTCGTATCTGCTGTTCGACCAGTACTGGAGCGGCAAAACAGTGGTCAGCATTCGCGTCGAACGTATCCAACCGGACGTAGTGCCGGCCCTAACCGTATGCCTGCCCTATGCACTGAGTATGGCCGGAATGGCCCGACAATATCCCGCGGAATTGGCCACCAATTATAGCCGTTACGTACAGATTATGACTGCATTGGTTAACGGATCCGATACTAACGATACACTGCGGCAACAGTTGAATGATATGTACAGAAATTTTCTCAGATTTTATGAACAACAACAAGAAATACTGGTCGACGATCTGATTGACGGTACGGTTAGCATACCATTCAAACGTCTGGACGATCCGGTAATTGTCAAACGCAACGATAATCCGGTGTTTGTCGAGATAAACGGTGTGACCACTGGTGGCGATGACGATGACAACGATGACACGGAAGTATATCAGGATCATCGGCCAATCGTATCGATAGTACCCGAAATGAGTGGTCACATACGCAAATGCTATACATTTTTCAGTCATCTACTATTGGAGCCGAATCCTGTGTGGACCCGATTGGCGTTCAATTCGCACGAAATACGGCTCAATGTCCGTCATCAGTGGCCATGGTTTCCGCCCGCTATCTACGATGAAGGGACAGCCCTAAACAAAATCTATCTGTCCCTACACTCCCCGAACGCTATGCCATACGATATGCGATCGGAAAACTTTCTGAACTTAGATATCAACTATTACTATGAAATTATGTATTCAACAGTTAAGACCCGACTGTTGCCGCCCGACTACGAAACAATGTGCCAGTCGTACGACACCAACGACGACACCAACGACTACTCCCGGAGCCAACATATGCAGTCGCCGCCGATCACCCGTTCCCAGTGTCGACAACAATGCTATCAACAGTATATTATCAACGATCGGCGCAAATGTTGTCAATCGCTAGAAAATGGGACAAAACGTATGGTTAGACATGTATGTCGTCCACCCAAAGCTGCCGCCGACTGTACACTCTGGTCGACAAATATAGTACCGGCTTATATGGTTTCGGGTACTAATAGGACAGTATGTAATCATTTACAGGTCAACCCTAGCTGTGAGTTTAGAGCTGATGTCCAGTGCGAACATAGGTGTCGTAAAGAGTGTCTCTACTATTACTATACAATGGATATCAAAGACTCGATGCTGAAGAAGCCGAAGCCGTTGAGGAAGAGTATGTCTGTAGTACTGAAACATTTGCCACTATTGGATCAGACAGTTGAACACATGCCGGAGCTGTCGATGATATCGTTTATAGCAAACTTTGGCGGCCTATTGGGTATGTGGTTAGGATTGTCGGCGTTTGTCATATTTGATACCATTATTAATATATTTAAATGATATTTATTTTTTATTGTAACGATTATATTATATCTATTATATAATATAAAAATAATATATAGTTATGTATAGTATTATGTTAATGTTTATATAATTATTTTTTATCTAATATATCGTATAATATAATTATTAAAGTAATTACATAATGTTTTAAGTTTTTATTTTAAACAAAATATTAAATTATATATTTATATATAACAAAAATTCTATGAAAAGTTATTTTTTTAAAAACATTTGTAATTTTATTTTCAAATAATTTTTATATTTATTAGTGATGATTACTGAATAACAGTGAAATAATTTATTGAATATATATATTTTAAATAAATATATTACAATTAACAATGTTATCTATAACTATAAATATATTGATAGTCAATAAATTTTTTTTAAATCACAAAATTATTAATAAACATATGATTAACAATTTTACAAACATCGGAAAATTTTTTTTAACAGTTATTGCATTATATTTTAATTGAAAAAAATTTATTATAGATTATAATCAGTTGAATTAATTATAATTTTTTGTGTTTATATGTGAAAAATATTTATTTAATTAATACAGAAAAAACAGATTATATACCAGTATTATGTATTTATTTCGTTATTTTATTAAACTTATTGAATATATTTTTTGGTTTTTTTAAAAAAAAAATTCTAATATCTTATATAAATTTATATAAATATATTTATATAAAATAAAATTATAAATATTATATTTAAAGTTTTATTTAATTAATTTTTATATTATTATTATTATCATCATTTGAATTAATTAGATTTTCATTTTTACTTTTAAAAAAATCAAATATTCATATTATAAACAGTCATATCCTGTTTTTTGGAACTCTCTCTCTCTCTAAATAAATAAATCAATCAATCAACTAATACTTTTTAAAAAATATTTTTTTTAATTATACAAATGTTAAGTTATAAAACAATTTAGTATTTATATATATATATAAATTGCTGAATAAAGTGAAAAACTAAAAAAAAGTGTCGAAACACTAGATATCTATAATCCGTTTATAGGATCTGGTGTTATACACAGTGTGTGTGTCCATTGATATCAAATTTAAAGGTAATATAACACCAAAAAAAATATTTATTATTATTATTTAAAAGTTAATAGTTTAATATATAAATAATTAATTTAAGTTAAAATATAAATAAATTATAATAAGATAAAAATAAAAATTTATTATCATAATACAATATATATATATAGATATCGTTTGATATTTATTTATATATTTATAAATATTTATAAATAAATTTATATATATTTATTAAAATAGATTTATTTGTATACGGTATATAACTTCAATATATATATATATATATAGTATATACGGCTACCAAATATATCTATACATACAATATGGATCACATGGATGACATTGAATTGACCGAAATGGTGGACACAGATAATAATTCAATATCTAATAATAATAATAATGACGGTATAGTTGATAATAGTAGTATCGAAATCCCTACTACTACTACTACCGTTTTGCGTACCTATTCATCAACTAATGTTAACGATAACCAGTTAACTAATATATCAGATAATGATAATTATGATTATGGTTTCACATTAATAGATGCCATAAAAATACTAATATCCGGTTTCGCCTATATTTTTGATGTCGGCAAAGATCTAGGTTTAGCCATACATTTTTATCTAGCAAATGATTATGGGTATGTTTGTTTTTTTTTAATTTTTATATATAATAAATAATAATATTTAATGCATATTAATTTTTTTTAAATATTAGTATAAAGTTGTGCTTGTTATGCAAAACAAAAATTGATTATTGATTAATATTGAATAATTATAATATTTAGTAGTAGAATTAGAAGTTTGAATTATTTTTTTGAAATAATTTATTGAATTTATATATTTTAGAAAAATAAATAATAAAATTTAAATAAATTTATTTTTTCTATTTAAAAATATTAAAAAAAAATTTTAAACTTGGTGGCTATTTAAAAAAAATATTTTATTAAATTACAAATATTTTTCAAAAACTGGAAAAATAATAATCGTTTATAATTCAATTATTATTTTTGCTACTTATCATGTTTTATTTTTATTAAAAAATGTTTATATATAAAATTTTCACAAGAGTTCCTGAAACGACAACAATGTAATAGAAGTCTATATTCATTAACTAAGTTATCATATTTAATGCTTAAAATGACTGCAAAAGGTTAGACATTAATTGTAAATAATGTGATAACTTAGTTAATGAATAGGACTATAATAATTTAATTATAGGATTATAATTATAGGATTATAATAATAGAATAATAATTTATTATACATTGTTATGGTCTCAGGAAAATTTTTTTCATATATATACAGATATTTTTGGTTGACATTACTGTTTGTAATAATACCGTCGCTTATCATAACCGTTATATCAGTCCGTATGTCTATCAGCGATATGTTTACACTAAGCGATGGTGGAATAAATATAGTATACCCTCAAAAAACATGTAGGCAATTGTTTTCAATATTACAATTGGGACCAATTGTATGCTATTTGGATGCATTTTTATATTGTCTGGACAGCTGGAAATTGCGTCGATTTCGACATCAGTCAACTAATTATTCAGATCGAATAAAAAACAATTATTATCTAAAAATTTTGGCCGAAAAGTCGGCCAATTCGTTACGTTTTTATGAATGTCTACTCGAATCGATTCCGCAATTAATACTTCAACTCTATATACTTATTCAAACGTTTGACAATTGGTTTTACGATAATCGCCAATCAGGTATATATATATTTAAATATCAGGGTTAAACAAAAGAGGTATGGTAGGTTTTGATGATTTTGATTAATATTTCAATTGATACTATTTTAGTAAGTGTAAAATTTTTAAAAATTTATATGAATAATTATAGATTAAAACTAAGTAAAATAGTTAAAAATTTTGCTAAAACTTATCTAAAAATAGCATTATTTTATTTAAAATATTCAAAATTAAAAATTATCTAATTTTTGAAACGACAGATATCATATTAGAATTTAAATAGAAGTTTACGATAAAAAAAAGTTAGTTAAACAACAAATATTTATATTATAAAGTTTTTATTAATATTTTTTTATTTTAATTAAAAATTTTGAAAATATTTACAATTTTATAATTACTATAATTAAAACTTTAACAAAAATTTAGTTACATTAAGAATAAATACATATAAACTAAAAACATTAATTATTTAAAAAATTAATTATATATAATCATAGTGTATCATTAATGCTTTTATCAACTATTTTTAAATTTTAAATACATTATTATATTATTTTTTAATTAAAATATAAGCTTTTAGTAATTTATTAAAAATTATTTATATTTTGAGAAAATTAACCTATTTTCCTGGGAAATTACATGGAAAATTTATGGAATTTACATGGGAATATTCGGGAATTTAAAGTAAATTTTAGGGAATTATTTTGTTTGTTCCCTTGATTTTGGATTTATAAAAAAAATTGACGTTTAATAATGCAATAATAGTTCACACCTCTTATTAGACCCCACCAAGTTTTTTTGAAACTTGAACCCACCCTAGACCCCCTCCCCCTAAAATCCACACTTGCTACACAAATTTGCTTAACCCTAATATATATATATATATATATATATATATTTATTTATTTGTATAAATTTATATTTATATAAATATATATATATATTTAGTCCAGTCATTCGATACTTAATTATAATAATTAAATATTTTATTTTTTAAAATTATTTATTTCTATAAAAATCTAGCCATCTTTCAAATAAGTTCATCGGTTATATCTTTGGCGTTAATTTCCTGGTCGTTGGCATCAAATCATTGTCTAATTTATGACATTTTTTTAATTAATACTAAATTTATTAAGAAATATACGGTTTGAAAATTTATTAATTTTTTTATATTAATTTTTTATGTCTTTAGTACTAACATAGATTTTTTTTAAAAATATATATTTAATAATTTTTTAATACCGTATTTACAAATTAATCTATTTTTTGTCGTTATTTAATAGACACTGTTTGTTGGTTTTGTTTGGCGTTTTTCAATACTGGCTTCACGTTTGCTAATATTATCCCTATTTTTCACACAATTTCCCATCTATTATGTATTAATAGTTTTTTCAATTAATTGGCTAATAATGATTTTATCGATTATAACCGTACACTTAACAAATTATAGACGTATTAAACGTTTGGATCATATATTTTATAAGATAATATTGGCTTATTTGTTAACAATTTGCTATTTTCCTATATGTTATCCCCAATACGGTATCAATAGACCAAAATATCGATACTATATTATTTATTATACATTTATGTTATGTCAAAACCTATTATTATTAACACTATGGTATCAAAACTGTTTGAATGGTTGTCTAGTTTATAAGTCATACCCTATACCGGCGTTTATCATATTGTTTGTCATTGGCATCATATTTATGGTATAATTAAAAACTTATTTTAAAAAAATATTATTTATTAGTATTATTTATGATTTAAAAAAACTATAAATTTTTATGTTTTAAAATATTTATTTTTTTTAACTAGATCATTTATTACGTTTTGTATGAAAACTATAAGAAAAATGACTACAAAATATAAAAATTAGTTTATTAGTATTTTATAAATATTATTATAATTATTAGTTTAAATTTATTATTATATAAATTAAATATAATATTTAATTACATAACAGTTAATGTAGATATTATTAGTTATTAAACATTATATAAATATAAAATTGCAATTTTAAATATTGATTTTTTTAATTTAATTTTTTTATAAAATTTTTCTAAAATATTATTATAATTCTAATATTTTTATATAAGTAATAAATTTTATTTATTTTTTAATACAAGTTAATAAATTATACAAAATTAATTTAAAGATATTTTTACTCATATTCTATTAAATATTATAAAATATTTGTTATATTTTCATAAAAAATATTATTAAACATATAGTTATTTTTAAAAATGTTTTAAACTTTTTTTTTATAATTATGTTAAATTTAATAGTAATTATTTTTTTTAATTAATAAAATTATTAGTTTTATTAGTTATTATTTTTTTAAAAATATTAATAAATATAATTTATTTAACAAAATTGAATAAAATAATATTGTTTAATTCAAATTTAATCATATTATAAATTTTATTAATTATTTAAAAAAAACATTTTTAACTAGTTTTTATTTTACTAATTAATTCATTCATTTATAATGATGTGTCTTTATTAAGTAAATCCTAAAAAACAAAATAATAAATTTTTAAACAATTATTTATTTTTTAAAAAAAATATTTAATAAAAAATATTATATATACTTTAATTTTATTTTATTATTTTTGAATTTTATTTTTAAGTGTAAAAACCTTTTGAATTGATGTATAATATATTTGCTGTTTTCTATTCAATGGATATATGTATCTAACAATCGGTGACAATAGACTCGGATCTATATTATCATTACGTTTGCCTTATTTATGGGTTTTCAGTATAAAAAAATTTAGTTATTTTTTAAAAATAAAATACACAAAAACATAAATATATTAACAAACCTATGCATAGACTTAAAATTATGGTAACAAACAATGATATAACTAAACCAATGGTTGTCATCAATAGATAGGATATGTGAAACAGTTTACCAAAACCACTAAATCAGACAAACAAAACAAAATATTTATTAATTAAAAACTTAAATAAATTATTTGTAATAATAATAATAATACTCGGGATTATCGTAGTGTGCGATAAACACAGGTCTGCTAACTGTCGTTGTGTTTGATCCAAACATCAGATGATATTCATGGATCAGATGGACGGCGCACGAGTCGATAGTTGTCGGTAACGCCACTTTAGGTCGCGGTATAATCATTGAACCAATTGATAACATATAACTCACGGATAAACCGGTTATAAAACCAATTAGTGTCGCCTAATTGAAAGTGTATTAGATATTTTAAAAAAATAAATAATAGATATTTTTTTATTAATAATTAAATAAAATTCAGCATGCTAAATTTTTTGTTTACCAATGATGTTGCATAGGGATAGAATATCCCGATAATAAACAATGCAAACATTGGTCCCAGTGTTGATCCAGACAATGCTAACGATGCCTGCATTACTGTGCCGGCATTGCCCACACCATAGGACATGGCTATTGCCAACAGTCCATAGGACATGGCTTTTTAGGGATAAATTAGGAAACAAACAAACATAAAATCAAATAAATAAATTTTAAAAAAAGGTTGTCAGTCATAGCCCATGGCTACTACTACTACTACTACTACCTAATAGCTTAGTTATGTTTAGCGCCTGTCTATCGCTGGCTATTTTCAAACATGGTTTAACTATATCTATCCATGTTATGGTAGCCAATGCATTAAAACCAGATGATAATGTACTTGAAACAGTATAATAATTAGTATTATTATTGATAAAATTAATCAACAACAACAATTTTTTTAGCTACCTAAGCGCACCGCTAAATATGCATGCTACAAATAGGCCGGGCAGTCCCGGATATTTCGATAGTGTGTCCATTACAAAGTAGGGCATCAGTTGGTCGTGTCGGCTGATTAGTCCCAAAGTGATTGGATCGCAATCATGATATTTGGCGTATATAATCATACCGCTTAGTATGGCCATCCCGATCAACAGTATTAGCCCAGGTAGATTCCAGTAGAGGGTACTGTTTTTTGCAGTGGGGTGGGGAGGTAGGGTAGGGTAGGTCAATGACCAGGTATAGTAAATATTTTTAGTTTTATAAAATTAGTAAAAAAAATAAAATAAATACCGTTTGGCTTTAGCCGCCGATTCCATACTAATGTATCGCTGAACCTGTGCCTGATTGATACAGTAGACGGCTGTCCATGAGATGGTTGTACCGATTAGGACGTTCCACAAGTTGTCGTGATTGTAGACATCAAATTGCATACTAAATACACAAACAAACAGTAATATAATATAATAGTACTATAATATACTAATATTACATAATAAATAAAAGTATATATAGTTTTATTATAATTATTATTTTAAAAAAAAATTAATTCAATAATTTTTAATAACATTTTTTTAATTACTTAAAAAACTTGAGTCGACCGCCCATTTCATTGATATGCCATACTTTGGCTATACCTCCGACTTCTGAAATACCCTATAAATTATTTGTTAACAAAAATAAAAATGATATTAAAAATAATATTACATTTTTATTATCTACCGCCCCCCCCCTCCAACTAATTACTTGTATGATAACCATTAGGACACCCAAAAACATTAGTATACATTGTATACAATCAGTCCATATAACAGCTTTAATGCCACCCTTTTTTTTTGGTTTAATTACAAAATAATAATAATAATAATTTATTAACTAATTTAATCAATTTAATAAAATTAAATGTTAAAATTTTTTATATGAAAAAAATATTTTTTAAAAACATACAATTGTTGTATAGAAAGTACAGATAACTCCGACAACAATAATAGATGTCGATATAGATAGTGGGGTAACTGTTTGAATATGAAAAATATTTTTTTTTTAAATAATTAATATAATTATATCATAAATAATTATATAAATAAATATATATACAATATATATATACTAATTTTTTTATAAAAAAATACCGGAGCTTAATGCCAATGCCGGACCATATAAAACAATTGCCATATATGGAGTCTCTCTCGAAAAATAATTAATTAATTATTAATAAATATTATATGAAAATTATGATTAATCATAATTTTTTTTGTGTGTGTATTGCGCTTACATTTGATAAAATAAAACCAACGGTTCCCGCCATACGTATGTACCCGGAGTTAAATCTTTTGGCCAAATACTGGGACATAAAAATTTAATTAAAAAAAATAAATAAAGTAATTATTTATTACTTATATATAATAATAAATTACTAGAATAGTAGTATAGCTCTCTCTCTCTCTCTCTCTCTCTCTCTCTCTCTCTCTCTCTCTCTCTAAAAACTATAACCCCACCCCACCCATTTCACTAACCTCATTGACACTCAATAGTCCCAAACGGTAATAGATGGGCATAAATACTTCGGCGGCCAACACAATGGCCACAATAAACGATATGACCTGAACCGATATCTGGGTGCCCACCTGATAGACTTCGGCCGGCAAACCAAGCAGCGTATTGGTCGACGCAAAAGTGGCCACCAATGACAGTGTAACCGGCAATACTGCCAACTGGCGATTGCCGGTCAAAAACTCGTCACTGGTTTCGCGATTATTACGGCGGCCACTGAACCAAAAGTAAATACCGATTGCCGACGATGTGGCCAACAATAGCCCGAATACAAGATAGTCGACAATTGAAAACCCGGCGCTAATAACCATTATTGTGTTAATATAGATATACTCCTCTAAAAAAAAATTATTTAAATTTAAATTTTTTAAAATATCATAAATTGTTGGTCACCTTAGTTTTTATTATTAATATTATTATTAACTAATTGTATCATAAACTGTATAAAAAATAAATAACTATTTTTTTTAATAAAAAAAACTTTTAAATAAATATTTTACACAATTTTTGTTGTTGTTGTGTTTAAACAACTTATAATAATTAAATTATAATTTATTAATTGATTATTAATTGCTTTAATAGACTGACCAACTTTTTATATAATTTATTAATACAACTAACAAAAAAAATAAATAAAATTTATGCTAAAATAAAATGTAAAACATTTTTAAATTATTGTCCAAAAAAAAATTGGTAAATTATTTAAATTACTGTATTATAATAATAATATTATATTTTATAAGCAAATAATAATGTAATTTAGACTTTTAATAAAATGTATAATTTTTATAAACAAAATAACATAAAAATGTTTTCAAATAATTTAATAAAAAATTATATGTTTTTTTATATACTGTATATAATGTATCATATAGTACACTAGTGCTTAATAAATCAAATTAATAATAATAAAAATATTTTTGAAACGCTTTTAAAATAATATATTACTAATAAAATAACAATAATTAGGTTTTATTAAATGTTTATAAAAAATATATTAAATAACTTAAAAAATAATATTCAATTATTATTATTCTAAACTAAATCTAAATATTATATTTAAAAAAATATATACAATTAAATAAATTATATTTGAATATTTATAATTAAAAAAATGTTTATTTAATTTTTTTATTAATGATAAAAATGTCATATAAATAATAATACATTTGTGTGAATGAATTGGTAGAAAAAAATTCTTATTATTTCAGTATAAATAAAAATCTTTATATTATTATTATTATTATTATTAAAAAGCATTCATTGTTTTTGACCACAAAAAAAAACAAACAAAACATTTTTTTGTCACACATTTATGATGTTAAGACATGTCTATGTGATGACAAAAAACACAAATAATACCAATCCTTTCAATTTCATCAATCAATTGGTCACTTAATTTCAATGATGACAACGACGGAGGCGGCGGTAAATAAGTTGTTGTTTTGACGATTGCTTAATAAGTTTTCTTCATTTAACTTAATACTAGTGTATATTATAAGACAAACTAATTATTTTATTTAAAAAATAAAAATAAAACAAAATGTATGGATCGGTCGATCGGTCGGTCGGTTCCGTATGGAAACAGACAGACAGACAGACATAAGAGACAAACTAACAACTAAACAGAGTTTATATCACACACGAGTGTAGTTGTCTGTGTGCGTGTATGTGTGTGAGTGTATGTATTATTAAAAAAACGCCCGGTGCGCGAACACCGGCGCGCCGGCACTGCCAATCCACACTTGTATAGGCACATCCTATGCTTCAAAAAGGGATCAATTGGTATACCGGAGAGACTACCCGGTGGTACTCCCTGCTGTTGTCGAAGATATACCCTGCTGGCACCTGTATGTCTCTCTCAAAGCAGATTTCGACAGTAACTGCCCGCCCGTTCCGCTAACATATGGCATATATATACGACACACCACTACACTACACTAAACACGCACACACATCCAATCCTATAGTGGCCTCCTATAGGACATCTGATGATAGGCGGCTTCGAGGTATCGCTGGTCAGGGTATGACATCGACCGTTGGTCAGGATAGCCGCCGCCACCACCACCGCCGCCGCCCATCGATCGCTGATCTGCGTACGACATCGACCTGTCCTTCTCTTTAGCCTTTCCTACCTGTGCTCAACAACAACAACAACAAAATACAAAATTAGTAAATATAATAATCATTATTATTATGTAAATATCTAAATGAAAATATATATTATATAAAAGATATTTGAAAAGTTAGGCATACATTACATACATCTCAAGTAATCGCTTTTTTTCTCTCTCTCTCTTTCAACTCATCTCATCTCAAGTCAGTCAGTCAGTCATTATCATCAGATTTTTTACTCTATCTCTCTCTTTCAGCTCAGATACCACAGCAGCGGAACAACAGCTCAGTCATACCATCCATACGTTTTCAATCCATCCATCAAAACATCATTATTATAGGATATAAAACTCACAAAAACCACAAAATCATCAACAAAAAGAACTCATATAAAACTTGTTGTTGAAAAAAATCAAACAAATTATCAAATTTTTTGTTAAAACACACATTTTTTGAACATAAAAATTATTTCCTCTCAATTTATTCACACTTATATTTTTTTTATAATAATAGGTAATTATAATTCAATACACATCATAATTGTCATACAAATCAATCAATCATTACATCAATCATTACATCAATAATAATAATAATAATAATAGTAATCATTACAAACACAATCAAATACAAACACACAGTTATACACAGCATATATAGTATAATATAAATTACATACAGTTTCACATATGTACTGGAGGTATATGACCACTGAAATAGATATCAATATATAATTGTTTGATAATAATAGATGAACAGCTTATGTAGATTTCAAAATAAAGAGAGGGAGGGATAGGGATTCGGGTTCATAATAGTAGTCTATATTATGTGCGTGTTGTCTATATGTGCTTTTTAGGGAGAGGTTAGCGGTGCGGCCGACGATGCGTTCACCGGCACACAGGAGCGGTCGTTTGGGGCGCCACTCAACAGACCCGACTTGACATCATTATTCTGGACATCACCCCCGCCCGCAGGCCAGCCAATGCTCGGTGACGGACCACCGTCCACACCGGCATTGCCCGCGCCCGGACCTGATTGGCCAAACAAGGCTATACCAGCCTGATTGGCAATAGCGGCGGCCAATTGTAGGGCGGCCGCCTGAGGGTTCATATTTAGAGAGCCTAAACCGTACCCCGAACCACCCATAGGATTCTGGCCGCTAATACCCAGTGCCGATAGATTCGGCAAATCAGAGGTCTGATTGCGTTGAGTGACATGCGAACCGAGAGCGCCGCTCCATATCTGCTGATGAGATGCCGACACATTGCCGCCGCCGCCACCACCGTTAGAACCTAACCGATCAAATAGACCGCCGTTCGAGTTCATATAATGGCCGCCGCCTCCTCCACCACCACCGGCCTGCCGATGATGGTGGCCACCAATGTTGGACCCATGGCCACCACCACCTGATCGCTGATCGAACGGCGATAGCGGAGACGCCCCATAATTATAGCCCGAATTCACTGAAAACCCATCATTGAACGTACTGTTCATCTTAGCATTCATCGACAGACCCACTTGGGAACCGCCACCGCCACCATTCATACCGTGCATCCCGGAATGATGGCCGCCGTAGCGGCCATGACCTCCGTGATTAAGATTATGCGAATGATGGCCACCGCTCTTATTATAGCCGCCACCGCCGCCTCCGGACATAGACATCTCAACTTTGGGAACGGCGTTACTTACGTGAACTGATACGCCTTTGATGATGTGATCTTCGCCGCACAGTGTCTGAGCGATTTCCGAGTCGTAAAACGTTACGAAAGCGAACGCCCGGAACGGTTTCGGTATGAATACGTCGCAAATTTCGCCATATTTTGAAAAATAATCGCGCAATTCATCCACTGTAATGTCTTCAGTTAGTCGGCCAACAAATATCTTGCGATTAAATTCGGCCGATCGGTAATCAAAACCGCCGCCCTCTTTACTAATCGGTATACGAACGTCACACCAGCGGCCGTCGATATTGTGTCGTTTCGATATCACTTTAATCTGGACATCGTATTCGGCGAAACGTACGAAACCGAAACCTTTCGATAGTCCGGTTTTCGTATCTTTCTTGACCTGTGCCAGAACTACTTCGCCGTATTGTTCAAAATATTCCCGCAGTTCACTTTCGCTTGTCTTCCACGGCAAACCCAATACAATCAAATCGGTACACTTTTGCTGTATTTTCGCTTCCAATCGTTTTGTTTTGGCCATCGACGGCTCGGTTTGGTCATCGATTTTGCGTTTGTTTTCTGTTTACCGATCAATCAATCAAAGTCATTAAATAAAAACATTGACTAAAAATGGCCGCTAAATTGCGGTCATCATTATCATCAGCGGTTAGACAATAATACCTTTAGGAAATGCACAATAATAGAGTGAGTTGGCCCGCCAGCCCTGTTCGGGCGGCTGCAGTCGGCCATCGGTTAGCCGTACGCCACGAAAAGTACCCGTTTCCGAGTTGCGATACTTCAGTCCACTGGCGCCGGGAAATATCGATGTCAGCGTCGATAGCAATCTGTTTTTATAAGAGAAAAAAAGAGGTATTATTAGTGATATCAGATCAGTCATCGACAGTCGTCTAAAAATCAATTAATATCACTGACACTGAACTGTTTGTGTCCTCTTCGCACGGAATTTCGATCGCTTCTTCGCCTTCCTCTTCGGCCACTTGAATGTATTGAGACATATCACTGGTCACACTGGGCGATGACAGACGAGATCTTCGAGGTATGGATAGGTTGTGTGGTGTTGTGATAGGTGTCAGCTCTATATATATATATATATATATATCAACCGATTATGGGATCAGTTGGTTAAACACACGACACACAGACAGACACTAGGGATGAGATGGTGTGTCCACAGACTTGTAATGAATGAATGAATGAATGGATTGTCTTCCGCGGAAACTACTACTCAGGCGTCGATGGCTACGGGTCGGTAGCGGTGGTGACCAGAAATATCGGTGGACACAGTGTGGTAGTGATGGCCGGCGTTGTTGTTGTTGTTGTTGTTTATGATATGCGATACTAATTGGGTTTGTGTTTAGGCTTTTGTCTTCAATAGACACACACACTCTCTCTCTATACTGATATATATATATAAACTATTGGATAATATTCAGAACCAAAACAATAGTAGACAACAAATGTTTTTTTAGATCATTATTATAATACATTAAAATTTGTATGTTTTTATTAATTTTTTAATAATTTTTTTTAAAAAAATTATGATTACTATTTATTAATACAGTTTTTTTTATTTTTTTTATTGGTTTTGGTAATCCTATTTTGTATATGTCTAATTCAACGCTACCCTTACTATTACATGATATACTGATAGATATATCACATAGATTATACTTAATATACATATATATATATATACAGAAATAAAAATAGTATGTATAATAACTAATGTAACATATATACTGTATATGCTTTGTAAAAACTCCGCCACCCCCCACCCCCCATCCCCCTCCCTAAGCATTAAACACTAATATTGCGCGCATGTATACATACTCTACTGTGTTAATGGGGGCGGCCATTATTGTTTTGGTTTTGAATATAATCGAATTTATATACAATATATCTAACAAGAGAGACATACAATCAATGCTGTGCTTTACTGTACTGTAGTATTGTGTCGAGTGTTTAGGTAACGACATCTACTGTATAGGAAAGCTATAGGAAAGTTCCCTATCATTGATATATGAATGAGAAATATTCCCCCTATATATAAAATGTGGGTTTTTTATGAAAAAATATTGAAATTTTTTTAGAAATGTTTTTTATTTTGTTTTTTTTTTAATCAATAACTCTAAATCTAAATTATTATAAACTGTAGTTAATTATATATATAATTTAGTAAAATAGTTTACATATAAATTCCCTCTTTTTTTTTTAAAAAAAAGTTTGTGATTGAGTGAGTGAGTTAGTGAGTGAGTGAGTGAGTGAGTTAGTGAGTTAGTGAGTGAGTGAGTAGTGAGATAAATATATATATGGGAATTATTTTATAATAATTATTATTTATTTTTTTGTGAGACAATATCCATATGGGAAAATAACTTATCTATTTTTTGTTGGTATCTAAATGTGTGTAAATATGGGGAACTAAAAAAAATATACTAAATAGAGTATATTTTACATAGGGTAAATTATGTACTTTATATTTTAGACTATACTTTAAATGATACAATAGGTGTGGCCTATAATAGGTCTATCCCTTAATATTATAATTTTCATGACAACTACACAGACATCTACTGGTTATTGTACTCATTGTATGTATGTATGTATGTGTATGTGTATGTGTATGTGTATGTGTATGTGTATGTGTATGTGTATGTGTATGTGTATGTGTATGTGTATGTGTATGTGTATGTGTATGTGTATGTGTATGTGTATGTGTATGTGTATGTGTATGTGTATGTGTATGTGTATGTGTATGTGTATGTGTATGTGTATGTGTATGTGTATGTGTATGTGTATGTGTATGTGTATGTGTATGTGTATGTGTATGTGTATGTGTATGTGTATGTGTATGTGTATGTGTATGTGTATGTGTATGTGTATGTGTATGTGTATGTGTATGTGTATGTGTATGTGTATGTGTATGTGTTTATAGGTTTATAAGTTATTGTATTAAACAATAGAGTATTTAAAATTCAATTGAAAGCAATGTTTTTATAGGAAATTTAAAATGTTTGTTAGATTAGTGTAATTAAGTTTACAGTAATGAGATTTACAGTATATGAATATTATATTCAGTATACAATAAATTATATATTTATAAATTTATGTGATATGATATTAATTTTTTTTAAATTACTGATAATAACATTGAAATAATGTTAATAATTATAATTATTATTAATAATGTCAAAAAATATTTATTTTTCTATTAATTTATAATAATTATACTTTAAGTGTGGTTCACATATTACGTTCGCACTTTTTATGAAATCTAGACACCCTCCCTCCCCTATGTTCGCATGTAGTCATTTAAAAAAATTAATTACGTTCGCTTGTCCTTAACCGCTACCTCCCCCCACCCCAGCACAAGAAATAAGATATCTAAATGCGAACGTTCTTTAAAGTCTCTACCCCTCCCCTCGTTTGCAAAAGTACGCTTGGGCTAACCCCCCTCCCCCACCTCCCCTCAAGTGCGAACGTAATATGTGAACCACGCCTATTATTTATCTATATAATCCCATCTAGGTATTTATTTTCATTGTTTGTAAAACATATTACATATTCAATGTATGCATAATATTTTCTAACTAATCCTATTATTGTTTAATTTAGTACTTAAAATGTTAACTCTACGCAAATCGTTAACTTTAATATATAACTATATCATGGTTGCTATAGGGGGTAGGGGGTAAGGCCTCTTACCCCCCCCCCTGAGATCGAGAATTTTTGACTCTTAACCCCCCCCTTGGTTAGTGGTTAGTAGTTAGTGGGAATTTAGTGGGAATTTGTGGGAATTTTCTCAAATTTGGCAAAAATTGTTTAAAAATGCAATTAAAAAATGTTCACCCCCCCCCCCTATATCCCTAAGTTTTTTCGAAATTTTTGCAATTTTACCCCAAAGTTTTTTTTTCGAGATTTTTGCAATTTTACCCCAAAGTTTTTTTTTCGAAATTTTTGCAATTTTACCCCAAAGTTTTTTTTTCGAGATTTTTGCAATTTTACCCCCCCCCCTTATATCGAAAACCTTTCGCAACCCTGAACTAATATATATAGTGTATATTATATATAGTTATATGATATTTACAGTATATAAAAATTATATAAATATAGTTGGACATTAAATATTACATTACTAGTTGATGATATAACTTGACGATAATATTTGACAATACTTGAATATTTTACATTAATTTTTCTAGTTTTGTTGTTTTTTTTAATTAGTTAAAGTTTAAAATTTTAGTATTTTTTTTAAAAAAAATAAAGTTTAAATACAATATAAATATTTGTATGTAATATTGATGAAAAAATTGAATTTTTCTACACAATTATAACACAATTATAAAATCATCCAAATATATTGTATTTATTTATTATTAATTTATTTAAAAAATAATAATTATAATGACTATCAATAAATTAAAATTTTATGTTTTATTTAGTGTTGGAATTTTTCTAACAATTTATGTGATATTAATTATACGGACACTAGATATTGACATCACTAGTAGATACTATTATCCAAATTACCTGTGCATTGATCGACACAATTGGTCAGAGCGGGTGCCGGCATTTGATGGCCAGTCAACTAATGCCAAAAATTTAGTGCCAAACATTGTACACTATATACTGTTTGAAACACATTATATAAATTATGTACACTTTTTGTCTACTCTATCGGTACTGAAAAACCAGAAACCCGATAGTCTATACATTCATTGCGATTGTCGACAACTAGGGGGTGACTATTGGCAGCGTATTAACCGAGTGGCCAACGCAACCAATACTACACGGCTTATTGTACGGGAAATTCAACGACCGACTCATATATTTGGCCAACAGTTGAGTCAATCATTTCACAATTATCACGCATCAGATATCGGCAGAATTCAAGTGCTTCGGGAGTTTGGCGGCATTTATCTGGACAGAGATGTCTATGATGTGAAAAGTTTGGATCCGTATCCCAACTATGAGATGACACTGGACTATGAAATACGTGATTGGGGTTTGAATACTGAATACAAAGTGTTGGGCACACAAACACTGATAGCCCATAGAAACTCACGGTTTTTGAAACTATGGCTAATGTGTTACTGTGATTATCATCCCTGGGAATGGTATTACAATGCGGGCGAAATGCCTACTAAAGAGATATTAGAGAAACGGCCGGATCTGATACACGATGCAAACGGTCAGTTTGCTGCCGATAGTCAGCGTGTATGTCCGCAACTTTACTATCGCTATCTAACCGATTGGCGTCAAACCTATCATACGGTTCATCTGAATATCAGAGATAACTTACTTTCGCCGTTCGATTGGTGTCTCGAATCTAAACGACCGCCGATCTCACGGTTCGATGAATACAATGTCCGCCAATTGAGTACAACATTCGGCGAAATGGCCAGAGATGTGTTGGACTATGAAATATCGGTTACAAACTAAATGATTATAAATTTATATATATATATATACTGTATATAAACTGTATATATATATGACATACTATTGTATAAATAAATTAATTATTAATTTAAATATAATCTCATTTGTATGTAATGTTAAATTTAAATAATTATTAAACTAAAAAAAAATAATAATAATAATATAATTATTATACATAAGATACAGTATATTTTGTAATAATTAACTTTATTTAATATATTTTATGAAAATATATAATAGCTTATTAATTAACAGTTAAAAAATTAATAAAAAAATTTAGTTGACAACTATAATATAATACAAATGCTTTTTTTAGACAAAATTAATATTAATAATAATAATAAAAAAAGTTATTGAAATTAATTTAGAATATTATTTATAAAAATACAAATAATAAATATTATATCAATATATATATATATTAATAAATAGTTTTTAACTCAATTTAAATACATTTTTTTCTATATATTTTTATAACTCTATGTGTCGTATAGTATGATATAATACTTTTAATATTATTTATTATAATTGTCATAAAATCAATGGAAAACTTAGTTTTTTCTATTATATTATAGTCTATGAATTAAATCAATGTTTAATATAAACAATAGTTCATTAATAAAAAAATGTATTTTTTAAACTTAAATTTAATAAAAAAAATAGTAATAATTAATTATTAAAAAATTTATAATAAAACTAAAAAAAAACATTACAAATTAATAATCTGTTATGTAATACATTAAAAATATTATATAAAACATTTTACAAGAAATAAAAACAAATTAGTAAAAATATTAGTAAAACTTATTTAAAATAATAAAAGTTTAATAAGTAACCCGTTATATTAGATTTATAAATTAAAACAAAGTTTTTTTTAAATGTTTGTTTTTTTTATAAATTAAAACCAATAAAATTGAAAATTGAAAACAAGACAAAAAAAATCTATTTAAAAAAATGTGTATAAAAATTGTGTTCAAAAATTTTAGTATCGGTAATGATTAATACCGGTTTAAATTGTTTTTTTTTGTTTTCTAACTCTACTACATATACAGTAGTACTAATACATAGGACTAACAAAAATTTTATCACTAATCCTATTATTTATCCAAACTGTCCTAATTTTACGACAATTATCAATTAGTTTTCTAGTAATCGATTGTTCGATAGCTATTACTTTACTAATCTCTTGTTTGATATCCATGTATGGCATCCTTAATATCTGCAAATATTTTAGTTTTGCCAAACAGTCCACCAACTGATCGGTCAGATTAATGCCCCGAAAGTATAAATAGTAAACATTTGGTATGAAATTCATTGGATTATCCATAAAATCTGGACTAAAATACCAGCGACTGCTTGTTTTCAACGATAGATGTGTTAGTTTTGTCAGATTAGTCAATGAATTGCTTGATATTTCAAATCCATTGGCATCGATGTCATCGGTATTTACTTCAGTGTAACTAAACTCTGGATGAATTGCTAACCATTTTAATTGTTGAAAATTTTTGCCAACAATTTCTAGTGTTTTGTTAAACACTTGAACCGATTGAAACTTTACGTATAGTTCAAGTCGTTTAATTAGCAGACAATTGGTACCAATTTTGACTAAATAATCGTTTGTGAAATCAATATCACTTGCGGTTAAACTAAATGTTAATTGTTTTAATTGCGACATTTGTTGTGCAATTTGTGTCAAAACGTGTCGATAGTCTGTACGCAAAACAAATACAGTGATTACCGAAATCATTTGGCCGTAAACTTCGGTAAACTTTGTTATACTTTGGTTAACCAATTCATTGTTTGCAAAATTTAATGGAAAACTTATTTTCCGTAATTTAGGAAACAATACATCAGTGCTATTGATATCATTGAATAGTAGTGATAACGAGTGAACTGTCGGCGATAAGTCTTCAAACTGAATGTCTGTTAAGTTGTGGCACTTTTTCAGCTCATCGCTAACCAATTGGTCGACTCTGAAGATTGTAATCTTTTTCAATTGTTTCCCATATTTTTCAAACAATTGTTTTACTGTTTTCCTTTGACTCGTATAACAGATCACTAAATCAATGTTTGATTTCTTGAAATTGTATTTTAACCACAAATTGATTGTTTTATCGGATGTACTGATTGTGGCACTGATGGGTCTGTCGACTAACTTCTTCATAATCTTTTCGAGATTTTTATTATATTTTCTTTGGATTTCTTTAAAGTCGTAATTATTATCAAATATTTCGTAGCAATTAATATAGTTATGGCTTTCAAATACCAATCGTTGCCATTGTTTTGATACGGATTCAAGTCTTATCTTATCTCCTAATCTCAGATAAGACAATAGCTGTTGACATAAATCATCGCCAAAACGATCAAACGATTGTCTTCTCGACGATTCACTTCTTAAGCGTATCATTGATACCATCGATGACGACAAACTTATCGCTTCAATTGATGCCATTATATATCTGAAGACAATAATAATTATTATTAGTGAAGAAAATCAATGGCAAACCAAATGTATTAATAATTAAAATGTTTTTTTAACTAACAAATTGATTAAACAATTAGTGATTTAATATTATTATTATTTAGTAATGAATTGAAAACACAAAACAATTAATAAATATTTTGTTTTGTTTTTTATGTGTTTTTGTTTTGAAAACTAATGAGAAAACATTAATCAATTGATTGATTGAAATACAAGTATTCATTGAATTCTATTTTATATTAAACTGTTTTTTTTTAAATATTTAATAAAAAACTGTTCGATTATATTCAAAACCAAAACCGTTAAAATAGCCGTCGACTACAAACACACAGTAGTGTATGTATAAAGCGGGCGCAATATTAGTGTTTAATGCTTGGGGGGGAGGCGGTGGGGGTGGTGGTGTTTTTATAAAGCATAGACTATATGTTACCATAGTTACTATACACACTATTTTATTTGTATGTATATATATTAAGTGTAATCTATGATAAATCTATGTGTGTGTGTGTGTGTGTATGTGTTGTGGTAGGTCTATTTTTGTTTTGGTTTAGAATATAATCGAACAGTTTTTTTAATACAAACAATGCTTTACATTCCTATTGTTTCACATTTTCTACTAATAAACTATTTATATATATATATATAATATAGTGTTATAGTTATTATAAATTTATTAATCTAAATAACTTTTTTAAATATAATTTTAATTAAAATTACAAAAATAGTTAGTGTATAATAATTATTTATAGATAAAAAATTGACTGTAATATCAGTTTAAACTTATACTGTAAAATAATATTTTTATTTAATTTATTATAATTTTTATATATTATATTAATATATAATTAGTTGAATCACAAAATATTAATATCATTTTAAATTATTTTTTTAAAAGTATAATATTATACTATATTATGATAATTACAGATAGTTTTCATAAATGTAATTAAAAAAATTTTTGTATTGTGTTTAATCATATGATATCAACAAAATAATTATTAAAAAATTTAACCAAAAAAAAATTCAGAGAATGATTTTTAAAAAAAATTAAAATCTTAATTATTAAAAATTTGTTAGTTATTAAATTAAACTTAATAATTAAAAATGATATATATATAAATTTATATATATTTTGCTAATATAATAAAAGTTTTATTCCATATAAAAATTATTAGTAAATATTAGTATTATAAACAAATAAATTACAGAATAATACTAATAATTATTATAAATTAAAATACTAATAAAATTTTTCAAAACAACAATAATTGAATATTTCACAGTAAAATAACAATAAATTTGTACTCAAAAAAAATTTAGACTATTTATTAACATTAATACTTTATTATACTGTAGTTTACTGTATATGGTGTGAGTTGTTATCTGTTGTTTTAATCTTATGTTTAAAATATCATTTTAATCCCTTATATATATCCTTTAAAATATGTAAATGATATATAAATTGCTGAAATTACAGTACTTTAAACAGGTTTTGAGTAAATAACAAAAGCATTTATTATTATTATTAACAAAAACATTACTATAAGTTTAGCTTAAAGTTTGAATACATATATAACTGATTTTTGTAAAATAAATTATTTATTAAAAAATATTTATTAAATAAATTTTTAAAAAATATTTTGATTGAAGACTTTGTTTTTTGCTACAAAAGATGGATAGAGACGACGGACCGGACAGTCGTCGTCAAAGTAGAGATAGTTTTGGCGACCGATTTGGCGATGATTTGTGTGGACTAGTAGTCAGTTATCTACCGATTGATGACCGCTTTCGCTTAGAGTGTGTGTCCCGACAATGGCATCGATTGGTGTTTCAACAAAATATATTTACCGAAGAAAATAGATTTTGTATTAAAAATTATGAAAAATTAATGAAAAAATTAATGGAAACACCGTTTAATCAGAGATTAGTAAAAATCAAGTATGAATTGTGGCTAAAATATGATCTAAATATCCGATCAATTAAATTGACGCCCAGTACTGACAATTCAATTGTTGTACAATTGCTTGAAAAATATGGCCTAAAATTACAATCAATAGCTTTATACAGAATCGACAAACAGATTGCCGTTCAGCTCAAGAAATGTCTGAACTTATCGGAGATTATATTCAGAAACTGTTTTACACCGACAGTCGATACACTACAGGTGCTCTTCAATGACGACAATAATATTAGTAATAATAATAATAATAATAACAATAATAATGAAATATCATTTCCGAAACTACGAAAACTAAGTTTTCTAATGTATTCGGCAAACATTGAAAGTTTCAAACGGTTTTGCAATACTTATGGCAAAAATATTTCCGTAATTGATATTAACTTTTGTGACAACAATTTATTAGATAAATCTCTATTGATATCAGTGTCACAAATCAAACAATTAAAACAATTGACTATTAATTCATATTTCAATAGTTTTATTAATACAACTTTTATACCCGATTTGGCAACAATTGGTACCAATAATTGCCGTCAACTTAAACGTCTTGAACTTCAA